GGAGTTAAAAGGAAGTTGTTTATGGGGGTAGGGAGTTAGAAGGAAAAAAAATTGAAGAGGGACTGAGCAGGAATTCAGATTTGGGTTTAGGGATTTTTAGAGAACTTTCCCCTAAATTATTTCGATCAATTATAGTTCTTAATTAAGTGTTAATTTGGTGCACAAATCCATATGTAACTTTCTTTTTAATAATGTATCACTTTTATTCTGTCCCCCTTAAGGAACTTTAGGTAAAATTAATGTCATAAACGTTGAACAGCACATCGAAATCGGTAAAACAATTGTGTGTTTTGTGACTTTTCATGAAAAATGAAGAAACACATGCACGTATAAAATAGTGCAATTTATGGGGACGACTACAATCTCGTAACGATATGGTTTCGTTAATTTATTTTAGATTGTTGGATACTCACAATTATTACTGGCTTTTAGATACATGAGAGTGCACACATTGTTGTATACTCACAATTATTACTGGCTTTTATATACACGAAAGTTGTATATTAACTGCACACATTGTTGTAACCTGATTGGTTGAAACAATAAAGGAACTACCCCGTTACGTGACTTTAGTACTTTCCGCAATTTAGACCTTTTCAGGGTGTAATTGTATATCAATTGTACAGTAAATATCCCAATCAAAATTCAAATTTAACTCAACTCCACTATCCCCAATAATATTATCAATATAATTAAATAATATTAAACAATCATTATTACACATCACATAAACTTTAATTCACTATTAATCAACTCACATAATTTTAATTAACCATCACTTCTAATCATTTTCACCTACTTTTACATCAAATTAACTTTAATTATTTTAAGTTAAATATTATTTTAATATATCCACTAACAACTAACCATACTATTTTTTTTCAAATTTAACTATAATTAAAAAAAATAATTTTTTATTAGTTGAATTCATATCCAATCACCTTGTATCTCAAATCAAGCAAGTGGACACTAAAAAATAATGTCGTAATATCAAATGTCAACGAAAAATATATTCTTTTTACATGATAACGATATATTAATAAACAAAACAATTACATACTGGAAAGAGTTAAAACAAATGAATGAAATAGCCAAAATAATTGAATATATGAGAACTGCTAAGTATGAAAGATATTTTTGGCATAAGTTCAAAAATAAGAATATTTGAAGTCGTGTTCCTACAAGCACAAGGATTGTATAAAAGGGAAGTTCGTATATTTATATATACTCGTGCTCGGTTTGCTTTAATTAATTTGTCAAATTACTTGTGCTTATTATGGACATATTTTGTAGGATCTTGTGAAGGGAGGCGGGGTTGAAGTGATAAGCATGCATGGAAAAGATATCAAAGAAGATTAAGGTCAATATTCACTTTCCATGTTACTTCATTGCATTTTGGAAAGAGGATCAATGGATTCGCAGAAAGAAGGAAAGAACTTGCGCTGGAAGTTCACGCCTAAGAGCATCTCCAATGGTCAAATGTTGCTGTGGTAAATTGCATTCCACATCAACACATTTAATAAATTCACCATTTTTTCATCTTCAATGTAGAACTAGTACAACACCCGTGTATTACACGGGTGTTTGCTAATTTTTTTCTTAAAATCTAAAATTAATGAGAAAAAGTAGTTTGAAAATTTAAATGCCTTTTATAAGAATATATATATTATTATATATTTATTATGACACTTTTTATTTGTGCGACTTACTTGTCTTATATTATACTAATTTTTTTTACAAAGTATAACTACATTATATATAAATATATCAATTGAGAAATAATTTTATTTTTTTAATGAATTTTAATAATAGAATAATTTTATTTTTCTAATGAATTTTAATAAATATTATTATTTTTTATTATTATAAAGATAAATATAATTTATTTATTTCATATATACAATATGGATGTCAAATCGAAGATCATCAAAAGATGATTAATTTGATATATTATATATGTAAATTCGATAAGAAATACAAAAGTTATCAACTTTTAAAATACATTTATAATTCAATAGCTTATTGAAGGAAACAAATCAAAATTCAGGGATATATTAGTCACTTAGTGCCTCACTATGTAAAATTACAAAAAATTAAAAGGTTATATTAGTACAAGTGATATTAAAATACTTAAGTTAGCTAAATAATATTTATAGAATACCCAAACTTAGATTATTAATTATTAATATATCATATTATTTGTCCAAACCTAATTACGAAGTATGATTCTTTGCCAAATAGGATTCCGAAGCACCAGAAGTAGCCACGTAGACTCGGCGCATTCGGGAATTATATATAGGGAGGTTTATTTTGTTTTAGAAAAAAAAGATTTAATAAATATTCAATCGCACTGTCGGGTCGGGCCACGCATAGATCCGAATGGCCCATGCCGCCTTTCATAGCCACAATTTGACAAAGGATTTACAAGCACGCACTCTATCCCCCTTACGTTGAACAGATAAAAAATCATCAGAATCAGTTGTCTGGTATCGTATTGTGAAGCTTTAGGCACTGTATAGGCGAAAATCACACTCTGAAACCCTAATTGCTAATACCAGTACAGCTTGACCTTTGCCCCTTCTTCTTCTTCTTCTTCTTCTTCTTCTTTTGGTTTCTTCTTAACAGTTGTTCTTCAAGTTAGATAATTTTTGTTTTCAGTCGCTCGACCAGACTGTATTATTTTCAGGGAATCGCGTGCCGATAATCTGATTCCGTTCGTGGCGTCGTGTTGAAGAATCGGACTCGAAATTGTATTCTGGGTTGAAATTCCTGTGTATTGGACTGCCGATTTTAATTTTCAGCCGACGTTTGGAGATTATTGAGGTCTCTGGTTGTGAAAATTTTTTGTCCTTTTCACTTTGTAAAAACCGTTTTGTTTCAAAAGATTGCGTGTTGACTTGAGGTGTAGAAATCTGGTCCGGATGATGTCTGTTGAGAGATCGTTTGAAGCATGGGAGGAGGTGCAGCGGCACGGGCAGGACCTGGCCGATAAGCTTGCTCAGGGCTTCACGGGCTTAATCCAATCTCATATTACTCCACCATCTTTCCAATGGCCAAACCCTCCCACGCCCAAGCTGTTTGAAGTCGGGTTCCCAGTGCAGAAATTTATGAAAGGGGATTTTGGGCTGTCGGTGGATAATTCGGCTATTAATGGGGTGACTGCTATTTTTGATATTGGGAACAAATTAGGACAGGCTGGGGTAGAGTTTGGATCTTCTTTGAATGGTGTGGTTCATCAGTTTTTTAGGCGGTTGCCCGTGCCTTTCCATCATGATGAGAGTGCTGGGATGTCTCTAGGTGTGGAAGGTCAAGGCCCGAGGACTAATCTGGGTATAACCCTGCAGGAGGATTTAGGATCACTTGCAGAGAGATTTAAGGATTATGGGTTCTCTGAAAATAGTGCTGTAATTGTGGAGGGCTCGGAAGAGGATGAGACCGAGACCTTTGGTGTTAATGCGAAGGCATTGAAACATTTGGGTCATTCAAAGGTACATATCTGATACTTATGGCCTTGATCTATTAATAGACATTTCGTAAATATAGTTTTGGGACAATCATTTTTTAACTTACTAGAGATACATTAACTGACGATGCTAGAGGTTTCGGGATTCATTTTTTCGAGGTAGGCGTTAGTATGTGTATTTACTGTTGGAGTTAGGTTTGTGCTTAAGCTATCATCACTAGTCTAATGTAAGATACGTGGAGATGTAAGCTCTATCCTCAGATCACATCTTGATGCTCTTATTGTGAATGATTTTATATCCTTGGTCGTTGGCATCTTTGGTGATTCTGAGGACTCATGTGAGTTGCGGATTGATATATGAACTATTTTGATATATCGTGCATCATTCACTAAATTGCGGTTCTTAGGTTAGTGTATGATAGAGTAGGTAACATTAGGTGCCTGAAGGTTTGTTTCATATGAGCTAGAGGATGGTATGTACGAATTATTAACTGATAGAGATTGGTGTGTGTCTCAGCATAGGAAATTTGTCACAGTTATTTACATCACAAACTGTGCTGATACATAACAAAATTGTGCATATCAATTTGTGTGTTACTCATGCCTTCTTTTCTAAATCACCACTTTCCATTTTCTCCAAGTGCAGGGTACTATCAATGTTACTGCAACCTATGACAGTAGAACGAGCAATGTTGAAAGTTCTCTTGTTGCAAAGGGAGATTTATGGAGAGTTGAGGCATCACAAGGAAGCTCGACATCTAGAAATGAGAACTCGTCCCTTTTCCTTGTCCAGCTTGGGCCTGTACTGTTTGTTCGTGATTCCACTCTTCTCCTGCCGGTCCATTTGTCAAAGCAACACCTGCTGTGGTATGGATATGATAGGAAGGTATCACCCAACCCATTGAGTTGTAAAATTCTACGGCATCTAATAGATCATTGAGCTGCAATTCTCTTTGTGAGCAGAACTCTAAAATTAGTTTTTTTTTTTTTTTTTTTGGGAATGTGTTGGATATAATAATTATTTTAGTCTCAGGCGCTCCATCATTGTGACTTGCAAAAACTTCATATGATGTTTAGAACAAAATGTAAATACTGGTCAATACATGTGACTGCTAAGTTACAATATTTTGAAATACATTTGCTTTCCCATATAAGAAGTAAACAAGTATTGTGCTAGAAATGAGATATGTTGACAAACAAGTCCTATATCTCTTGTTTAGTACTTGAAGTATGCGAGTATTGAGTAGACCAACCAACACAGGGGAATGAGATACATGATGTACAGGAGAGTAATTATTTTGTACTTAGTTTTTCCAGAGAGACATATACTGAAAATTCATATGATTTTTAAATGTCCAAAAAACGCCAAGAAAATTGCACTAGGATCAGTAGTGATTGTGGTCGATCAGAATTATAATTACTATAATTTGATGTAGAAATTTAATAATTTGCTCTGCAGCTCTGGGCTGCTTGGAAGTTAATGAGAATCCAATATATGATACCTGACAACAATCTTTTTAAAATGACAGATAATATATGGAGGTATTTTTTAGACAGATTATATATTAAGCTGTTTGTTGCCAAGAATCATATATTAGGTTTTATCCTCCTTGTTATTCTATTTGTTGCTTTTTAGTATTATTGGGCGTAGTCATTTTCTTGTTGGCACCTAATGTAAACTTAATGGTTCTGTCTGGAACACACACAGAATGGATTGCATTCTCTCTGTCCAGCCGTGTGGTCGAAGCACAGAAGGTGGCTATTGATGTCAATGATCTGCCTCAACCCTTTAGCTTGTGTAAGCTTGGCTACTCATTATACAACTGATCTCACTTTGTGTTGAAAAGTTTCTTTTGCAAGTCAATTATGGGCGTAATCTTCAAAATAAAGTGGAACTAGAATTTGAAACAGTGTTTAAGCACTCTTTATCTTAATTTGCCACACATCTCATCTTCCTCATTCATAATGTGTCAATTTTATTGGTTTCATCTCATGTGCATGTTAGTTGAGAACCTGGGAGATAAGGAAAAAAGAATTTTGGAAACTTTGTTCAGTTTATTAAAAGGTTCATATTCATTCTGAGCACAATTCTTCATGCCTGCCTTTATCTGACATGTTTGAACGATATAGAAAGAAAAATGTTTAATAACTGAACGTTTGTAAGTTATTTGTTATTGTCCTAAAGAGATGAGCATCTGCGAAGTTGACTTGATTGTACTTTATGATATCTATGAAGTTGGTACTTGGTAGATTTAGATGAGGAGTTCTGGGATGACCTCCTCCTAGCCATGGGGGTTATCCAATCACTTTCTTTGGTATCTCTGACTTGAGCCTTGACTGACTATATTTTGTTTCCTCATCTTTGTTGCTCAATCTTTTCATATATGAAAGTTTAATGGGCTTCCGTTTTCCTCTATGCAGTCTTTCATGGATTTGCAATTCCCAAATGGCCAAGTTACATATGTTTCTGGTGAAGGGTTATCCACTAGTGCCTTTCTGCCCGTCTGTGGAGGGCTGCTTCAAGCACAGGGCCAATATCCAGGAGATATGAAGTTCAGTTTCTCATGCAAGGTGCGATTAGAATTTCCCGGAAAATGTTACTGTAGGAGTTCATATACTTTGGCTAGTCCATATGTATAAATCTAAACCTGCTGCGTAGTATAGTCTGCTCGAATACTGATTTTCTTGTTGAACTTATGAAGAATAAGTGGGGAACACGCATAACACCGATGTTGCAGTGGCCTGACAAGTCATTTGCCTTGGGCCTGGAGCAGGCATTGGCTTGGAAGAGATCTGGTCTCCTGGTGAGGCCAACAGTCCAATTCAGGTACTTAGTGATTGATATACTTGAGACAACCTATATTAGAAGTCTGCATGAATAGTTCTTAACATGGTTCCTTTTACCAATTAGATCTCATTTGTTTTCTGCATTTCTGTTTGTAATAATTGGTCTTTCTGGAGCCATTTGAATTTAGACTGTCCTGTTGATTTAACAGAATACTTGTCATATGATTATTGGAATTCTCCGCTACAGCTGCCTTCAATTTGTATACTACTATCCTGAAAAACATGTTCTCCATTTCTCATGGTTCAGTTATGTATGTGTGTTTATTATTATCAGTTTATGCCCAACATTTGGTGGAAGCTGTCCTGGGCTACGGATGGAGCTTACCCATTCTCTGAAGGAGGAAGTGAATCTTATCTGTGGCTGTGCCTTTGTGACTCATCCTTCTGCATTTGCATCCGTATCAGTAAGCTAATCATTGCTGGGAAACTACTACTACTATATTATTAGTATTAACTTGGGCCATGTCCTTGAAAGGAAAAATAAAAAGCTGTTATTATTCTTTAGTATGAAATAAATTTGACGTTGAGAAACCAATGTGTTTCGACATGTCAAACTCCGAAAACTATTTTCTCCTTTGTAAAGGGTCTTGTATAACTTGGATTGTTGCAGGGGGAAAATCAGACTTGAGTGATTTTATCCCCATTTAACAATGAACCAACGACATGGTTACCATTCAATATGTTCTGGATCATATATACCACTCGTTTCTCATAAGCAACTTGCTAAAACTTTGGTATTTTAGAGTACTTCTTTTATAGCATATTCGTATGTGACCAAAACCTTTTGTCACCTGGGTTTTGAAGTGTTAAATTGGTTGGTGATAACTAAAGGGATATCAAGCAATTTCCAAGTATAGAATAGAGAGTAATTACTGCCCTCATCTCCTTTTTTTTCTGTTTTGATATTTTTTTCTCCCTTTTTCCGAACGCTGGATATAGGTTGGCAGGTCGAAGTGGAATGGAAATGTCGGCAGCACAGGTGTGGTCGTGAAAGTTGAAACTCCTCTTGGCAACTATGGCAGGCCTTCCTTTTCTGTTCAGTTGAATAGTGGTATTGAGTTTTAATTTCTTCCTTTTTTTTTTTCATTGGTATTTCTCTTTTGAATGATGAAGGGCGAGGTGAGGATGGACTGCATGTGTAATTAACATGTATATATGTACTTCAGTGTAATTTTGTTCATTATAGCACTCGGACGTGAAGCTTACTCTACTGTAATTAGCCGCGCTTGTCGTTTTGTACAAAAAATGTGTCCATCGACTGTGCACATAATTTCTCGTCGGAAAATGTGTAATGTATGTTTATCTTAAATGCCTTTCTACAGAAATTGGGAAGTTATTTTTATGATTTTTTTTATTTTATTTCATAATTGAAATAATGTTTTTGGTTAGCTTGGACAAAAGTGTTTAAAAACTTTGGAATGGATTTTCCTTCAGCATCTAAAGATTATTTTCAGTAACTCATTTTTCTTTCGCTAGAAGTAAGTTTCTTGTCTGCGGTGTCAACTTACTGCACTGAAAATAGGTAACTAAAATAGGGAGATGTTACGGTCTCGTTATGGTACTATTCCGTCGAGGTTTGTAACCGTTAGATCAACTATTCCCGATAGTTATATGATGATCGAAACAAATCCCACTAAAATAAAATGGCATTTAAAAGAAATTGTAGAGTGTAGACCATGGATTGTGTGCCCATCAGGATAATGGCCAATATCCCTTGATTGAATGTGGTCCTTCCTGATAAGTGATAACAACCATACATTAGTCATTGTCAATACACATACACCATCTCTGAGGATTTTTTTTTTTTCTTTTTTTTTTATTTTTTTTTGAAATGTGTGTTATCCTGCAAGAATTTGTTATCCTCAGCCTCTGACAAACACCATTAATCAGATTTAGGATTGTAAATTTCGGAGAATTCGATGCTGCATTCACTACTCCCACATGCTTTTTCACCCTTGATTTGCACACACTCACACACACACCCGTGTGGGTGTGTGTGAAACACCAATGTAGCATTACATCTTTAACAGAACTTAATGCAAATGTCTATTAAGATACAGAAAACAACATTTACTGTCCATGAATGATTCTGCTTGTGTTCCTCAACTGGACAAACTTCTGTTCAGCATCCCAAGAACAAAAAAAAAAAGATGGAAACCCAATTCAAAATCATTTTTTTTATTCCCTATAAAAATGTGCCACTCACCAGTATCCCTCAAATTTCTTACTAAGGAAATCCAATTTTCTTCCATTTTTTTTTTTTATAATTCATATCAAAATAACCTAATGATTTGATCAAAGCCCTTTTGCTACTTTCATCAATGGATGGCCCAAGAAGTAGTAGTACTCATGAAAATGGTGAGAGCATGGAGATTTTGTCAAATGATGATCACCTCAACTTTCTCGGGTCGACCCACGATGATCCGTTGGGCCCGCTCGGTTTTCCCGCCAACTTTACAACCCGAGCTCTACTTCTTGGAGCCGAAAAGCTGCTAATGACCCGAAAACCCGTCCCATTACCGACCCATTCCAACTTCGAGCCTCAAACTGATCACGACGAACTGCATGGAAATCTCATTAACGGTAAAATCCAAGGTAAATACACGACAAAACAAGACCGGAAGATAAAAAGATTCGAAGAATGTAAGACTAATTCATTTCATGCAACTTCACGTTTTCGTAACGAGTTCGAAAGCTATAATAATGGTAACAACAACGACGAGCTTCCATTTAGTTTCACAGCTTTCGCGGCTGTACTGTTTCTTAAGCTAGCTAGCTTTCAAATAAGCCTACTCTTAAGGTTCTTTGATTTCCCCATTTGGTTCTTCAACTTGTTCTTAATGCTTGTGATGTTCCCCTTTGAAATTCTAACACATTTGAGAGGACACTTGAAGAAAAAGTTGATGATTGCATGCCACGCTTCGTACATGAGGCTTAAGTCGCATACTTCTTTTTTGAGACTCGCCGTACGATTTGGAAAGGCCTTTCTCTATGGGGCCTATGTGTTTTTCGTGCTAGTCGGGTTGCTTGTGTCCGGTTTTGTAATCAGTGGCGTAGTTATGAGAAATTTGGTGCAAGAAAGAATTCACACAACCCAAACTCTGAACTTTGATTACACGAAGACGAGCCCAACTGCCGTCGTGCCTGTTGTCAGTGGAGTTTTGCCTTCCAAATTGAAGCTCACTGTTTTATTGACACTGCCAGAGTCCGAATACAATCGAAAACTTGGTGTTTTTCAGGTATATTGGTTGTTTTAGCATTTTTCTTGTTCTGTTTTCACATGATTATGATAAAGGGTATGTACTCTTGTTAGTTCTTTCTTTTTCTTTTTTTTTCTGATGTTAAGGTAAGAGTGGAAACTCTATCGAGCAATGGGAAAGTAGTTCATGGGATGAGTCACCCCACGATGTTACGTTTCAAGAGCCAATCTATACGTGCTGTCGAGACTTTGTTCAACAGCGCGCATTTAATAACCGGCTTGAAATCCGAGGTACAAAATCTGAAAATCGTGATGGGCGAATTTAACGAAGGGCATGGCGCAATGTCGAGTTTGAAAGTGATTATCGAGCATAGGGCCGAGTTTCAAGGTGGCGCCGGTGTGCCTCAGATATATGGCGGTTCTCTTGAAATCGAATCTGAGCTTCCGAAACTGAAGAGAGTTTTGTGGAATTGGAGACGAACGGCATTCGTTTGGGTCGGTTTCGGTTCGTTCTTGAGTGAGGTGATGGTTTTCTTGATCTTCTTTAGGACTGTTGTTTTACCTGGTGGCAGGACAAAGGCTATGGGCAGTAGCAAGAAATGTTTGTCTGATAAAATTGCATGGCAGAATATTGCAATTTGAGATAGGGATGTTGTTTTAATAAGGTTCTATCCTATGTGAGCTTAGGACAAATAATTTGTGACAACCATTTTTTTTTTTCACTTTCATGTGTTGATGCCTATGAATAAATAATTATGTTTTATTTATTTATTTATTTATTTTTATTTTTTATATTTGTACTACACGTATAACATTAAAAGTTGTGTGTCTTACTTGTTAAAAAACAACTAATGTATATTGAAATAAATTAACAAAATTTGTAGAATCTAATTTGATAAAAAGCTGTATTTGTATACAAAATATTTTAGATATTATAATAGGACAATTTAATTTAATTTAGATGTTTATAGACATATTATTCATGAATGTTTTTCACAGTCCAAAATAATAGAACATTTTAGATATTTTTTCATGGGTTATATTTTTAATATTTTAGATAGACATTTTGTTTATGCGTATTAATATCATTTCCTTTGCACTATTCCTTTATCTGCAGTATAAAGTAATAAAGTATAATTAGTGGTTAGCATTAATAAATTTACGAGAAATTTATATTATTTTGTAATTTTACTTCCAACGATTGCATCTATCCGAGATGTTTTGGCTAATGAATATCCTGTTCATCCATCCGAGATGTTTTGGCTAATTCTATTTTATTATTAAGAGATAATTCAGTAACAAACATTGTATTTCATTATTAAATAATATTGAATATAGTATCGATTTGGCATTACCTCTATTTTATTATTAAAAAATGAGATAATTTAAAAAATAGTATCAATGATTATCTCTATTTTATTATTAAAAAATGAGATAATTCATTGAGAGTAACAAAAATTACTCCGAATAGTTATGTGTTCTTGTATTCTTGAGATGATTATTGTATTTTATTATTAATTATATATGAAATCAGATAAGACGGAGTTGTTTGAGTTATTATTAGTTTTTCTCGCATAGCTGAAAACAATATTCTTACATATCAATTTATCGTGTAACCGTTCATTTTTATGTGTCCATATTTCCTCTCACAAGCTAAGATAGTCCATTTTCTCACTTCACAATCATGCACTCTATTTTAATTCCTACATTAAGTTTGGATTGATTTTATCAACCATTGTCTATTAAGTTTATGGAAAAAGATTTGAATAAAACATATATCAAGTACTACTAATATAAATGAGGCCACCAGGCCAACTATCTTGTGAGTTAATGTAACTATTCTCAACATATTTAAATTACACAAAAAGTTATTAATAAAGAAGATTAGGTTATTAATCCTGTGATGCCTACAAATTCGACTAGCTTTTGAAATTTTAGCTTCCAGAAAATACCTATAAAGAAATATATATTACCAGATATATAATCATTCGATTTTTTTTTTTTTTTTTAATCCTAATATTGATTATCAATTTTGTTAATACTTTATCAATCTTGATTTGAAAATTCCTTAGGTTTACTTGCAATTTTGATCACATAAATACAAAATACTATCGTGTATATTAATTTTCTTTGGTACTTTAATGTTAAAATTTTCGCCATTTAAAATTATTTCCAACCATTATTTCAATTCACGTGTATACTTTACTCTATTATAGAGTGTGTGACATATATAGTAAAAATTAAAATTTTAACTTCAACAGTTGTTGCTACATTTATTACATAAGTATTCTATATTTTTTCTTATTATTTTGAATTAATTTTAGTGTTAAAAAATATAGTTTAATTATATATATTGTTTTGTATACATTTAATTATTTAATTTATCAATTTATAAAAGATAATTAGGTATAATGATATATGTAATTAAATTTATTAACACATTTTATTTAGTGATTACTAAAATATCAAACAAGATTGAAATGAAATTTCAATTAATTAATCTAAGCCCTATAACATATAGCATTCCTAAGTAAATATGACATCTAGCATACATTATTTAATTGGGGTGTACATATAGTAAAGTATTGCATACGTTATTTAATTGGGGTGTACATAATTTGTGACAACCATTTTTTTTTTAATTTTTTTTTTACTTTCATGTGTTGATGCCTATGAATTAATTAGAATAAAATTGGCTACCAAAATTATAGGAAAAAAAAAAAATCTTAAGGTGTTGGTGCTCCGGCGCCATTCCTCTCATTTTCAGTTAATAAAGTTTTGCCACATCACTTGATATCTTATTTATTTATTTAATTATTTATTTTTATTTGTATATTTTTAAATTTTAACATTAAAGTTGTGTATCTTAGTAAAAAACAACTAAAGTATATTGAAATAAATTAACAAATTTAATAGAATCTAATTTGATAAAAGTTGTATTTGTAAATAAAATATTTTAGATATTATAACAGGACAATTAAATTTAATTTGGATATTTATGGCCGTATTATACATGAATGTCTCAGAAAATATTAACTGATTTCACACATTTTTTCCAAAATAATAGAATATTTTAGATATTTTTTCATGTGTTATATTTTTAATACTTTAGATAGACATTTTGTTTATGCTTTTAGTATAAATAGGTAAATTGTATTACTTGTTAACTCATATCTTTATTATAAATACTAGTAATATTTCTACTTCTAGTTTATAAATATTATGTAATATCATTTACCCGGCATTGATTTATACTATTTATTTATCAACTGCAGTATAAAATATAATTAGTGGTTAGGATTAATAAATCTACGATAAATGTAAAGATGCATGCCATTTTCCGAATCTAGTATATCTAGTATCCGAGTATTCGAGCTGAGGTTTTGTCTTGATTAAAGGGGATAGTCATGTTCTTATTTATGTCCTCGTTTCTTTGTTTTAGTCATCTTGTCGGCATCCGCTATCCCATCTGATTATTTTGGTCATGAGTTTTGGTAGGGTTGAAAATCAGTTGACTGCTCGTGTATGTTACTTTACTTTCTGAGTTTTATTAATGCAATCTCGTTTTGAAAAAAAAAATAAAAAAAAAAAAATCTCAGGTTGGCTAATGATTATCTCTATTTTATTATTAAAAAATAAGATAATTCATTAAAAGTAACAAAAATACTCCTAAATACTAGTGTACTTTTTAGATGATTATTATATTTTATTATTAACTATATAAAATTAGATAATATGCTTTGACATTATCTCTATCTTATTATTAAAAAAATGAGATAATTCATTTGGAGTAACAAAATACTACCAATGATTATCCTTATTTTATTATTAAAAAAATGAGATTATTCATTTAGAGTAACCGAAATACCCCTGAGTTGCGTATTCTTGAGATAATTACTGAATTTTATTATTAATTATATAAAATCAGGTAATACAGATGTTTGAGTTATTATTAGTTTTTCTCGCTGAAAACAATATTCTTACATACTCTCTCTCTCTTTCAAATTATAAGTCGCTTTGACTTTTTCGGTACATCAATTTTGCTATGTATCTAGACATATTATTATCTAGATACATAGCAAAATAGATGAATCAAAAAAGTCAAAACTACTTATGGCATGATTGGTATAATGAAATAAAATTTCATAGGAATGGAATGAATTGAAGAATGGAATAATTATGGGAATGGAATGGAACAAATTTAGTCATTGATGCGTTTGATATGCAGAAGGAATAAAACCTGAATGGAATGACATTATGATTTTTTATTATAAAAATAAGTAAATGCTCTTTTAAAAAAATAATATATTTCTAATAAATTATATATAAATATTTTTTTAATAATATATAAAATAAAAAATATATTGTTTAATATAAAAATAATATATTGTAAAATTATATATAAAAAATAATATATTCTCAAAATTAATATATTTTAATATATAAAAAATAAAATATTTTTAATAATATATAAAAATAAAATGTAACATATTTATAATAATATATATATTTATTTTTAATTAAACAATAAATAAAATTAAGTTTTTAATTTTTTTATTTGAATTTTATTTTTAAAAATAATATATTTTTAGTAATATATAAAAATATAAAATAATAGATTTTTAACAATATATATTTTTATATTTTAATAAAGAAATAAATAAAAGTAAGTTTTTAATTTTTTTATTTGAATATTATTTTTTAAATAGTATATAAAAATATAAAGTAATATATATTTGATAATATATATTTTATTTTTTAATTAAGTAATAAATAAAAGTAATTTTTCAATTTTTTTATTTGAATTTTATTTCTTAAATAATATTATTAATAATTTATAAAAATAAAAAAGTAATATATTTTTAATAATATATATTTTTAATATATTTTAATATTATGTGTTGCAACACAAGAAATTAATAAAATCATTCCCAATGGAATTGGAATGAGTAATCCTATAGGTTATGAGAGGAATGAGTAATTCCATAATAATGGGAATAATGATTCCATAGTAATGGTCATTCCTTGTGAGCAAAACATACCAAGTATAAGAATGGGAATCACATAAGGAATGATTATTCCATTCATGGTCCATTTCCATATACTAATCATGCTCTTATAATTTGAAACGGAGGCCGAGAGGGTATCAATTTATCGTGTAACTCATCTATTTGTTCATTTTTCATGTGTCCATATTTCCTCTCACAAGCTAAGATAGTCCATTTTCTCATTTCACAATCATGCATTCTATTTTAATTCCTACATTAAGTTCATGGAAAATGATTTGAATAAAACATATCAAGTGCTAGATTCATACAAATGAGAGGCCACCAGACCCAACTATGTTGTGAGTTATGACGTGTATGTAACTATATCTCACTATTAAATTACATAAAAAGTGATTAATTAGGAGAAGATTAAATTAGTTGATTAAGGCCAAACAAAAATTGGCCACTTCATATATATGTTGTCAGCAAAATAGTGGTCTTCATCAAGAGTGGGCCTCCTGTGATGCCCACAAATCCGACTAGCCTTTGAAAGTTTAGCTTCCACAAAATACCTATAAAGAACTGTTTCCAGATTTATAATCATTCAATTTTATTTATTTATTTATTTATTTATTTATTTTTTTGGATTGTTATTCACTGCTCTCTATTACTACTCACCGGTCCCCCTCAATTACATTTTTGCCCTTCACTACTCTCTCTCTACTCTTTCTCTCTACTTTCTCGATTTTATGCGGCTGTTTTGACCGTCAAAAAAATTTGAAAAAATGTCAAAAAAATACCATGGCATCAGCAAGATATTGAAGATTAACCATGTATTTTTTTTACTTTATAAATAATTTTTTTTTTTTGTGCGTCCTATCGGCTTGGCCGGACGCGCATGGTGGCGTCCTACCGGCGAGGCCGGACACGCAAAAAAAAAATTAAAAATTATTTACAAAGTAAAAAAAAATACATGGTCAATCTTCAATGTCTTGTCGATGTGATGATATTTTTTTGGCATTTTTTTGAAATTTTTTTGACGGTTAAAAGAATTGTAGAAAATTAAGAGGGAAATAGTAGAGAGAGAAAGTAGAGAGAGAGAGTAGTTAAGGGCAAAAACGTCCAAGGAGCGGTGAATAGTAATGCCTTTTTTTTTTGTTAATCCTAATATTTTTTGGTTAATCTTAATATTGATTATCATTTATCAATTACGTTACCAATACTTTATCAATCTTGATTTGAAAACCCCTCAGGTTTTATATATTAATTTTCTTTGGTACTTTAATGTTAAAATTTTCGTGCATTTAAAATCATTTTCAACCATTATTTCAATTCAAGTGTATACTTGACTCTATTCTAGAGTGCGTGATATATTAAAATTAAAAATTTAACTTCAACCCTTGTTTTTTACATATATTACATATATATTCTATATTTTTCTTATTATTTTAAATCAATTTTAGTGTTAAAAATATAGTTTAATTATGTATACTGTTTTGTACACATTTAATTATTTAAATTATCAATTTATAATTTGTAAAATATAACTAGATATAATTATATATGTTATTTAATTTATTAAAACATTTTATTCAGTGATTTCTAAAATATCAAACAAGATTGAAATGAAATTTCAATTAATACGTTATTTAATTGGGGTCTGTAGAAAAGTAGTGCAATAGAAAACAAAAATAAAAATAAAGGAATTGAAAAATGTAAATAACGCCAAAAAAAAAAGGGTGAAACAAATCAGGAAATTTTGTATTATAAATTCCATATAATTTTTAGAAATTTGTATTATAAGAGAAATTAATTTTTATAAATTTGCATTATAAATTTTAAAATTTTTGTGTATATAAAAAAAAAGGGTTAAATTACAAAATTTTAGTCCTACTAAACTATGAAGATAGCAATCAAGGTACCATCGGAGTCACATATAGCATTCTTTAAGTAGTATTAAAAATTTATAATAAAACCAAAATTGCAATTTAGCATAAATAGAGTGTGAACAACAAGATAATGCAGTGTAAATCAAAAAACGACGAAACGCTACAGTCCCATTACGGACTTATTTCGTTATAGTTTGTAATCGGTAAATCATCATGTAATCGTAAAAAATAATTGATCTAACAATTACAAACCCCGACGAAATAATTCCGTAACGGGACTGTAGTTATCTCCCCCCAAAAAAAAACGTCCTTTTCAATTATTCCCGCTTTTCCTTCGCGTGTGGGCTTCCACAAATTTCACACTCTTAGCCTCAAAATTGAATATGGGCCAATACTTTTCACTCAATCACCTTTTTACTCAAATCTCATAATAATAAATAAACCCAATTTTCGCGTCAATTTTTCACTCACTCGAAAATGGGTTCAAATGCTTTTCGCGGTTCTCATCTCTTATTGGTCTCCTCCTTTCTTCTAATTTCCCTCTCACAGACACCATCAAAAGCCACCAGCAGCAGCTGTGACATTTTCAACGGCAGCTGGGTTTTTGACTATTCTACCCCTCCCCCTTACAATTCCGCCGCCTCCCAATGCCCTTTCGCCGACTCCGCCCTCGACTGTATCAAGAACGGCCGCCCCGACACGGCGTACCTCAGCTACAGCTGGCGGCCGGCCGGCTGCCACCTTCCACGGTAAGATGCTGCTGCCGCCTTTACTAATGAATTGTGTTTTGTCTTTGGGTGAGTGATTTCATGCAAGTAAGTGTGAATTTATTGCGCACGTCCAAAAATGGAAATTGGTTTTTCTTTTTCCTTTAGAATCTGATTTAGGATTCAAAAATGGCAGGTTTGATGGCAAGGGATTTCTGGGAAGGTACAGGGGCAAAAAGGTAATGTTCGTCGGGGACTCGCTGAGTAGCAGCCAGTGGCAGTCGCTAGCGTGCATGCTTCACGCGGCTGATCCGAACCAAAATTACACGATAACATCACGTGGCCGGATCACAACTCTCTTCTTCACTGTAAGCGCGTGTTGTTTTTACTGTTGTTTTCCCGTAAATACGAAAAAAAAAGGTAAAATTACTAAAGTTCGCGTGCTTATGAAGGCGTATGGGACGTCGATCATGTACATGAAGGACGGGTTCTTGGTGAGCCTTGTGAACCGGAAGCTATGGCTCGACTCGCTCAGTGGAAGTGAACTGTGGAGGGGTGTCGATTTGTTGGTCTTCAACAGTTACCATTGGTGGCTCCACACGGGACTCTACAAAACGTGAGTTAGCATTATCCAGTTTCCGATTTACTCCAGTTTCTTGATTTCTGTAAAGAACGGGGATATTTATTACTCGATTATTCGATTGTGTCGTGTTCTAGATGGGACGGTTACCAGATTGGTGACCGGACAGTGAGAGACATTGATATGGATGTAATGGAAGCATACAAGATAGCTCTGACTACTTGGGCTAACTGGGTAGACTCCAACATTGATCAGACCAAAACCTATGTCTTTTTCCAAGGAATTTCCATGGTGCATTACCAGTAAGTAAGCCAGTTTTCTATGTATCATCTCGTGGATAATGCAGAAAATTTTCGAACTTCGAGTTAGATTTGAAACACACATTGAAAGCAAAAGCGAACTGAGAAAATTCCACAAGTTACAGAGTGTTGATACCTAACCGTACGCCAACTTCATCAGCATTCCACCACATATATGTTGCTTTTGTTGTTTCGCTCGCCAGTCAAAACTATTTTATTCGTTATTTGTGTGTGGCAGTGGGGCAGAATGGGGCGAACCTGCGGTGCAAGATTGCAAGGGACAAACGAAACCTGTGGAGGGGTCGAATTATCCCGGCACGAGACCTCCAGGAGATGAAGTGGTGAAAAGCGTGCTGCACGCGATGAAAAGACCTGCATTTTTGCTCGACATAGTTTTGATGACTCAGCTGAGAAAAGACGGGCACCCATCGATATATGCCGGCGGAGGACAACTCGACTGCAGCCACTGGTGCCTTGCGGGTGTACCGGATACCTGGAATCAGCTCATGTATACAATTCTTCTACGGAATTGAAAAATGCGGTCCTTTTTAAGTGTATTATTGTGCGAGGAAAGGGAAACAACAAGGAACTTGTGTTTTTGGCATGAGATATAAATTTTGTTTTCAAGAATCATTGATGTTGATATCCCCAAATCTTCTTCCAAGTCATCAGGTGTAAAATTAACTGAATTTGAACTAGTTCTTGGAGAAAATGAACAATAGCATAAATAATAGGAAGCAAGATCCAGTTATCTTACAGTTGATCATATTGCAAAAATCATATTATGATTTGTATAAACCTCTTGAAAGTGCAAGCTATGAATGAGAAACAAATATCGAGAGGTATTTCTAATTTTTCTCGGGTAGTTAAGTCAAAACCTCGAAAGGTACATTAGATTTCACTATTGATATGCAGTTGCCAGGTGACTGCTAGCACAATTCAGTAATACTTTTTGACAGAGGGCCAGGCATATCTAGCAAAATCTTTATATCAAAATCAAAAGCATAGGGACTAACCGGGCTTCAAGAAAACAAAGAGCAAATAGAGCGAAAATAGACTGATAGAAAACGATCGAACATACAAACATTACAACATACAATTTAACAGAAGGAGCTTGACAGGAATCATAATTCTGACTCAAATTAAATGTCTTCAAAAAGTGGTGAATCAACTATTGATGTGTTTGAAGTTTTAGAATAGATAGTGAACGGCCGGAAACATATGAACAACTGTAGAAGTGGATGCTTAGCTGATTCCTGATTGAAACACATCAAAATCTCTATGTCTGCTTTTGTATCCTCTTGTCCCTTAAGGGCAACTCACTGGGTTTTTGGGCCTGATGAGGGTGGTCCGGGCCAGCATAAACCTTGAGATGGGTAAACAATGTCCTCCCGAGCTGCAATCAGTGGAAAAAATTGCTTAATCATAAAATCTCATTTAAGCGGGTAGAAAAAGGGTTCACTGTTCTTTACAATGTCCAGATTAACAAGAGATCAGATTTGTTCACAGTTAGCAGAAGAAACTCACCCGTCCTTTGGGAAGCATCCCACGAACTGCATGCTCGATAATTCTTTCAGGAATTCTCTTCTGGAGCTGATCAAAGGTTTCAACTTTCATCCCACCTGGTCTTCCCGAGTGCCTCCTATAGAGTTTCTGTATCCTCTTCTTTCCAGATACAGCAATCTTCTCAGCATTGACCTGTTTCAACACCACATAACCAAATTTCAATGCTGAAACTGTTCATTGTTCTGTAGAACTCAGGCTAAATCAAGATATGCTCCCAAATAATCAAGTAATAAAATTGGAGCAACATATTGAAAAAAACTCCCTTTCACTCTGATCAGGTTTTATAACATTTGCTAACATGCATTAGCAGAGCCCTTTTACATTCTCCGTATGCTTTTTATTTAAATTTAAAAGAAGAGGGGCATCATGGCATAAACCGAGTTAAACAAAAGATTTTCCGTGAGGCTTTTTGTTTTAAATTTCTTAAACCCATGAAATATCTGGGATAGCCCTATATTCCAGGGAGGTAAATGCCGATCAAGATACAGTGTAGTAAAAAGAAGTATGTCGATTTCTCATGTCACCATACCACAATAACAAATGCTCCCATGTCCACACTAGGAGTGAATGTTGCCAGATTCTTTCCCCTGATGTAAATAGCTATTGTCGAAGCCAGTCTTCCAAGAATCTTGTCAGTGGCATCCACTACATACCATTTCTTATCCTTACTAAGATGGTCTGCAGCTTTGGGATACCATGTTTTATTCCAAACATCCTGACATTTGAAGCATTCTAAATAAACTGCAAGATCTTAACTTAATTGCAAGGGGATAGATAAGCAACATATATATGAGAGTTTAAGCAAGTCAAAGACACATAAAAGAAGTACAAAAATGGACTGAACATAATTTGTGTCTGTCAGCCCAAACAGCTTTCGGGGGGAAACTTTGACAAGCCATAAATTAGAAACCACTAGGCTTCATCCTAAAGGAAGATAACCAAACAATTGCCACCCAATGTCGAAATTTGGCATACTGTACATGGCAATCAATCCCTTACAACCAATTTTAAAACCAAACAAATCAAGCGTATGGTCATTATAGCTCTTGCTCTTCAATAAATGTATCCCTTAGATATCTCTTATCACAAAATGAAGAATTTTTTTTTTTTTTTTGGTAAAATACACAGTTTAGGCTAAGTTCAGAGTGAAGTGCTTCTTTCTGTCACGACACTTTCGATGATATGCAACCAAAATCCTATGCTACCTGTACTCAAATATGGGTGGCGTATCGAGTGTGGAGATATGAGCATCCAACTCGTCAATAGTTTAGAAATCTTGAACATTTTAGGCTAAAATTTCACACCCGACACTCATACCCACACCAGTGTCGACACAACATGACACGGGTATTCTTCCTAAATAGAAGAGTCCGAGTAACATAGCCAAAATCGAAAATTCTACACAATCATTTCACCAGAAGGAGAAAAATTATTGCGCGGCTTATACACCAAATTCCCATACCTTTCGACACACCCCGCGAAGGAAAAACGTTGAATATTTGGTTATTTCTATGGAGTAGATTCGTTTAGCACCAACTAAAATCCCAATTTCCTTGCTCTTGGATCTTAATCTATGGTTATCATCCCAAAGTCTCCATCAAAATGGAATTTCCTTTGTCATCAAATGGAATATAGGATTATAAACCCATATCAGCAAAAATACCAACTCAATCACACTCCATCAAACTTTACCAACTTCAATAGAGGCACAAAAAGGAAAATAAACAAGCAACCCCTACAAGATTCTCAACATTCAAATTACAGAATAGCCGGTGGCTACTGGAATTGCACCAGAAACAAACTAGAACAAGAAAACCTGAACAACACCATTTTGGGCAAACAACAGTCACGAGCTTACAGGTCCGGTGAGGTCGTCAAACATCCATTGCTGTCCAGCTGGAACGAGGGCGGCTTTATCTTGACAGCAAATCTTGGACACCTTCAATTGGATGGGCGGTTTGGGTGAAGTGCTGTTGGCGAGTGAGAATCCGAGGAAAGGCGTTTTCTTGAGGGAGGAGGAGAAAGGCTTGTCGGAGGGCTTCGCGAGCAGAATCGAGGAAGAAATGGCGCAGTTTACCGCCATAGCCATGGATAAGAGTTGTACTCTTCTCCCACTCAGTTGCAGAACTTCGCAGCGAGAGGTTTGAAAGGGGATAAGACTTGGTGTTCTGTATCTGTTGTGTAGGTGTTTTAGTAGGCTTGATTTTGATTACTTTGCCACTTTTCGTTTTTTGAACTAAAATCGGAGTCCGGTAGAGCGCTTTTATTGTGGTAATTTTTAACTCCTCCAACACGCTCACTAACATTTTTTTTTTTTTCTTAATTTTTTTTTTCTTTTTGGTTGCAATTTGTTTATATTCAGTAATGTGAATCTTGGCATGAATAGTTCGAGTGGTGGGATCTAGCTTCCCAAATTCAAGTTTGATAGCTCGAAAAATGTGCATATTTTATATATTTAATAGTGTATTTTTATACATTAAATTTATTCGCACGTTTATATTTTTCGACTTATTCATTATTTGGATGAGATTCATACACATTGATACTTTATATTTATTTTCAGCTCATTGAAGTATTTTGTGGATCCAGAGCATTCAACGAGTGTTTGCGAGAGATTGGGCCCCAATACCAGATTATTTATGGCCCAAACACATGCTTAGAAGGAGTTTACAAAATTAAGCCCAATTACAGAGATGATCACGAAGCCACTTTGAATAATACAAGTGAGAGGAAATTGATTTATTTGTAGGAACTTGAATTTATGGGGCAAAGAAGGAAATGAAAGCGGAAACAATAATTAGTTAACTTGGAGTAGGACTCATTTGCTTGGCAATATATTTGGGACGTGAAAAAGCCGCCGGGACTTATTTTTGACTGGACATAAAAGAACTCACGAACAACTGCGAGGAGAAGAGAAATCACACGCGGAGGGAAGCCGCACCCACACACGAGGAAGATAGATTTTCTCTCTTTTATCTTTTTATTTATTTTATTAGTATGTTAAGTTAATAATTTTACTCAATTGCTATTTACCGCCCCCTTATTACTAGTCACCGCCCCCCCAATTACGAAAATACTCTTTACTATATTTCTTTTTTTTTCTCTCTCTAAACTCTCTATCTCTCTAAGACCGAAACTTCAACGACCCGTACGAGCGTCAAAAAAATTCCGAAAAAATGTCGAAAAAATCCTACGGTCTCGGCAAAAGCGTTCTTCGCTAAGAAGGTAATTTTTATTTTTTTTTATAATTTAAATAATTTTTAAAAAAAAAAAAATTCAAATCAGGACCCGCGTCCGGCCGGTCGGACCGGAC